CCACAACCTTGGGACTCAGCCCTCGACTCAACTAATTATGCATGGTCTTTTTTTTCCCTTCCCACTTTTGTTTGTCCCTTCACCAAACCCTTCTGCTATCCACCTCCTAAGGTGTGAGAGCCGTGCTGAAAGGATGAAAGGCTGACTTTGTGCCAGTCCTGAACGGCCTGAGGGAGCCATGGGCACGGTATTCCCCTGATTTAGTTATCTAGCCCTTACCCCTCAAGGGGACCCTGAGGGGTGGACTGTTTTTATCCCCAACATAATCCAGGATTACCATGGCCAGTAATGAAAGTATATCCCCACTGTTAGGGGCAATGAGGCTTGCCCCTTTATCAAATAGCCCCAACGAAGTAAACCCACCCGATTCCCCGACCCCAGGCTCTCCTTTGACCACGGCTCCGAACACTGCAATAACTACCCCTTCACCAGTGCCTACTAGTACAGTAGCCAACAATCAACCCTCAAGGAACATTTCCACTCTCCCAGCATGCCCAACTTCAACACCTCTACCCCCACAACCTCCAACATCAACCACCCCATCCTCGCTTATTAATACCTTACAGCCTTATAGCCCACCTCTCCATAACACTACCTCCATCAACACTACTCCATCTTCGTCACGCCCTCGCCCTTCTACCACCCCTATCTCTAAAACAATCTTGAATACTCTCTTCAGTGCAGCCAAATGGGACCGATTTTTCGTGATCCCTCCCACAGCTCCCTACTCTGATAACACCCTTCTCTTCCAACAATGCCTCCAAAAACAAGTAGGTAAAGTCTCTTTCCGTAGCCGACCCGACCGCTCCCGTCTTGTCACAGTAACATCCGAAAATCAAGCTATAGCATTAACAAAACTAACTGACCTATATGGTAACCCCATCCTAGCAGAACCCCATCCAACCCTCAATACTTGCACCGGAACAGTGTCAATCTCACCAACAAATTGCCCAATCTATGACAAAGATTGGTCAGATTGTGGAGAAGATCTACTTGCCTGTCTCACAGACTACGATGCAACATCAGTACAATGCTACTCCATTCCCCCCAGAGGTCATCGAAAGAAACCCACTAACATAGCCAAAATTACCTTCCGTAGACATGACCTTCCCTTTAACGTCTACATAGGAGGAGAATCCCTCCCTGTTCGTCCATACCAACCTCCTCCACGTCAGTGCCAAAATTGTTGGCGTCTAGGACACCCAGCCAAACATTGCCGTTCCACAGCCAGATGCCCATTATGTGCCCAACCTGGCCATACCCGATCTAACTGCTCTGCACAATCACGCACATGTGCCAACTGTGGCGGCCCCCATAATGTATTTTATAGGGGCTGTCCCACCTACAGATTTGAATCTGAGGTAGCAACTCTCAGATTCAAACTTGGACTCACACTGCGTGAAGCCAGACAGGAAGCACGTCGACGTGGATTCTCTCTTACTCCTTACTCCAGTAATACTGCTCATACTAACACTTCTCCTCTTTTGCCATCCTAAATCCAGAAACTCCAATCTCTACTACAGATACTCCAATCACCACTACAACCCCAACACCTTCCCCTCTCCCTCCTCGCACTCCCCGTAACAGACAGAACAAACGTTCCACCCCCTCTTCCCCTACCACACAATCACCTCCACCATCCTTTGCCCCTACTCTTGAGACACCAGTCCTCTCTTCCCCACCTCACAATAAATCCTTTATCCCCCACAACTCCCCAACCAACTCCTTAGAAGAAACTATTGAAAATATTCTAGATTACTTCATGCAAACTGACACTCAACCTACAACCCCTGCTCCTTCCACACTCCAAGTAACTGCTGATATCCATCCCCCTCCTAACGATATCCCCCCTACACCCTATCCTCCTACCCCCTCCCAACACAGCCCATCCCCCCCGACCCCGACCCCAACCCCGCCCACATTAACCCTCCCACCATCCCCTCTATCCCTTCCACTCCCTCCTGGATACACACGTGAATCCCTTATGTCACAAGTATCCCCTTCCTCAGACCCTCCATCTCCTAATACCCCTCCTGATAGAACACCAACTCCCACATCTCTCCCATCTCAAACCTCTCAGTCCTTATCCCACCCTCTAGCTGCTTCCCCCTCAAAGTCTCCAATACGTACCGCAATCTATAACACTAAATCAACGAAAGTATAACTATCCTTCATTGGAATATTCGCGGTTTCCGCTCCCACAGACCTGACCTTCGTCATATCCTTTCCTCTTATAACCCATCTATTGTATACCTTCAAGAAACCTTTCTTACACATCCTCCAATACCAATCCCCAATTATCATTTTGTCTCTTCCCCACATTCCCTTTATGTCTCGTCCATACTGCTCTCGCCCGCTTACGCATTGGCCACACCCGTCTAACTCACTCCTATCTGATGTCACAATCTGATCCACCCCTATGTTCCTTATGTAATGTTCCCCTTTCAATCGTACACATCCTATTGTCGTGCCACGTTTTGAAGCAGCCCGTACCTCTGCTTTCCCCCACCTATCCTCCCTTCACCGACCTCCCAACCTATCAGACATCCTTACAGAATCCCACACTTTCTGCATCAACAACCTGTTCTCTTTCCTCAAACGCATACATATCCTTTATCTAATCTAACACCCGACCTTAACCCTTTGACTCACCAATTCCTTTGCCCAGCTTAGACAACTAATCACTAACTCAACCACCTTTTACTAACATTAAATATAGTGCTACATGACCTTAGATGTCTAGCACATTTATCTTGCTTTTAACCATTAACCATTAACCATTACTACTCCCTACTCCCTCTCATCAGTCCCACACCCACCCAATCTCTTGCTCGTTGTCGGGGGTGGGGGGAGGGCTCAGGAGACGGAGACTGAGGCCCAGTGTTGGGGCTCACCCCTACCTTGGACCTCAACCCACGTCTTAACTTCCTTAACTTCGGGCTTTAAATAATTCAAATAAATAAATTTATCCGCAGAACTACCTCTCTCAATACTACTCGTCCCCGTCCTTCTACTACCCCCACCTTTTCAAACATCTTGAACACTATCCAAACGGGATCGATTTTTCGTAGTCCACTCATAGCCCCGTACTTTGACAAAACACTCATATTCCAGCAATGCCCCCAAAAGCAAGTAGGCAAAGTTTCCTTCCGCAGTCGCTCTGACCGGAACTGTCTCGCATCTCCCCGACAAATTGCCCTGTCTACGGCAAAGATTGGTCAGATTGGTATCAGTACAGTGCTACATTATTCCCCCTAGATGCCGTCGTAAGTCCCCCACCAGTATTGCCAAGATTACTTTCCGTAGACCTCCCCTTCAACGTTTACATTAGCAAGAGTCCCTCCCTGTCCAACCATATTATTGGCGTGTAGGCCATTCTGCCAAACTGCCGTTCCACAGCCCGGTACCCTCTATGTGCCCAACCTAATAATCGATTAACCTACTCTGCACAGTCACGCACAAGTGCCAGTTGTGGCGGCTCCCATAATGCCTTTTATAGAGTTTGTACTACAAGCAAGTTTGAGTCTAAAGTGACAATTCTCAGATTCAAACTTGGCATCATTTTACGGGAGGCCAGACAGGAAGCACGTCGACAAGGTTTTTTCTCATTCCTTACTCCAATATTGTCCTTTGCTCTACCCCTTTCCTTTCCTCCTAAGATGTTTCTACATCTTCCCCAGTATCTCTCCCTCATCCCACTTCTACCTCTTCCTTCCCCCAGTTAAATTCTTTTTGCCATTCTTATTCCATACCCCAGTCTTCACCGTCCCAGACACTCCAGCCACACCTCCGATACCTATCACTATCACTATCCTTTCCTTTCCTAAACGCTCCACCCCATCCTCTCCTCCGTCAACCTCTTCCTTTACCACTCAAACATCCATCCCCTCTCCTCCCCCTCATAAGAAAACCTTTATTTCCCCAATCAACTCCACTACAGAAATGTTCGAAGACACTCGAAACTATCTAATCATGGCCCCAGATAACATGCCTACACCTCATCCATCCTCCAATATGTCTGCTACCATTCCTTTTACACTCAAAACAACTGGCGACATCCCTCATCCTACTCATGTTCCTCCTACACTCCTCCTTCCCACTCTCCCCCAGCACATCCCATTCTCCCTTTCCCCATTATCCCTTCCGCTTCCCCCTGGGTACATAGTTGGCCTTTTGTCACAACCCCCTTCCTGGTTTCTCTCCCTCTTGACATTTTTACCCTGAAACTGTGATCTTACTGCCCTTAGACTCCCTTTTCCCTTTGCTAATCCCTACCTTACCCTACGGACTTATATTGCTTTGTAACCATTATTTTTTTAATCATTATTGGGGATTATATAATTTATTTTACTAATAACTCTTATTAGTAAAACTTGGCTAATTACTGTGTAGAGGTCATCTCATTGGTTGAATCCCAAATATCTTACGTTGCAATTGGTCTGTTTCATTGCAAGGATGATATTAACTGCGGTTTACTGTAGTCACTGCGTGCTGCGTGATTAGGTAGAAATGCAGTAAAAGGTACTAAACTCGTAATCCTATGTTTGGGGTAAAAAAAAAAACTAATCATTATCTATGCATGTACATTTCTGTATGTGTGTGTGTGTGTGTGTGTGATGAATTTGTACTAATGTCAGGTACCTTTAAGGTTCTAGTAGATGAAGTGTTTACTCAGATTGTGAATATTTTTCGTATCAGTTCCCATTTTAGAAACGGTTTCATGCAGAAACAGAAAACTACAAAAGTTTGAAAAGTTTATTGGAGTCAAAAAGGCATTGAAACAACCCAAAACTAGACATATGCACGCCATCTCCTCCTCCACCAACAGAGAAGCATCGACCTAACCAAGGCAGTCAACCACGAGCTTGAAACGAAATAAGAGCAGCGGGCGTCCGAGCTTCGACGTGCACGAAAGCAAACCAAAGCGACCTGCGTGAAGCCGTTCGTGAATCAGGGCCGTTCGCAGACGACGTCGAGGAAGGGCGGTTCCGGGAAAGGCTTTACTTGCCGACGGTCTGCAGGGCCGCCATGTGCTCCTCCTGAAGGTGGCTGGGGATCAGGTACTCCAGGCAGTCGAGGAAGATGAGGTTGTAGTAGCAGTTGCTCCTGGAAGGGAAGGGCTGTGAGATTTCTGAGGCGATCGGTGGAAAACTTACTATGTGACACGACTGGAATGTCTGCTTCAAGAACCTTTACCCAAAAGCCATTATTAAGGACTCTCAACCGCGCTCCATGCCCGACCTGCACCCCGTGGCCACTTTGGGCTCCCGGAACACGTTGTAGCAGTCGTCGCACAGGCGCCCCAGCTTCCCCAGCAGCTGGCGGTCGTAGATGCCGGTGCACGCCGGGTCGAAGAGAGAGCGCTTGCTGAGGCTGTGGTTCCCCGAGGACGCCGACGAAGGAGACGCGTCGAGGGAGCGAGCGGAGGCGGGCGAGGACAAGGCAGCGAGGACCAGCAGGGCCGCCGACACCGTTGACAGCTGTAGGCCGAAAGGCTTGTGAAAATATGGATTGATAAATAATGACATTGATAATGATGATAATGATAATTGGTAGAATTGATGATAATGATGATGATTATAATTATACTTATCATAACAAAAATGGCATTGATGATAATGTTAATAATAATAAATATCACGATGTTGATAACAATAACAGGGATGATAATAATGATTCTGTTATTACTACTAATGATAATGCTAATGATAATAACTGAAAACAAAACTGGTAATACAGCAACATCACCTTATCCTTCTCCAGTCAGTGAACAAAATTAACGACATATTTCAAGTCAATTCTGCCAGTCTACGGTTTAAAAAAATTAGAGAGAAGATCGCATAACAAACGCCGCTTACCATGTGAAGAGCAACCATTGCAATTGACACGAAATTCGAAATATTTAGTTGCAACGAAGCTCTCTTTCTGCAGTGATACTGGATACCATTTACACCCAGCTTATATATATACTACCGATGGCAAGTCCCCGAGAATAAACAAAAAAACTTTTATTTTTTTATTCGTTTTTTTTTTTTTTCAATCAGCTGCAATAGACTTATCTGATCCCCTTTGACACAGAAATGCTCATTAAATGCATTTGTCTGTGCTTCGAACGGCGCGCGGGTATGCACTCAAGCACTCCCAAAATGGCGATCGCATCAAAGGGGAAAATATGAGTGGAAATTCGCGCGGAAACTGCAATTAGGGTTTGATTATATTTTTTCTCTTCGGTATTGAAAATCACACGAAATGAAATGTATGGATGTGTATGCAAAATGCAGAGATCTATATGTAAACACATATGCACACACACACACACACAAACACATACACACCCACATATCATATATCTAAATATACATACATTTATATTTATATATCTATATCTATCTCTCTCTCTCTCTCTCTCTCTCTCTCTCTCTCTCTCTCTCTCTCTCTCTATATATATATATATATATATATATATATATATATATTAAAGATCGCTCTATCATTATCTGTTTTCTGCATATATGACAATATTCTCCTTAGCTAATAAAAATAAGGAAATTAATATTTGCAGAAGGTTAGGGCGAGGCAAGTCAGATTAAGCGAAACGCCCCCCCCCTCTCCCGCTAACCTCACTTGGGCGCCATATTTACTTATTTTTAGTTATTCAGTTTTCTCTGGGCGAACTTTTACAATGTGTTCAACATTAATTCAGTAAAGGAAATAGAAATTAAAGGCCTGTGAATGTTGTAGAACTCAAATATGCATACGATTCAGTTACAGCATTTGTGAGTCATATGATTCAAGTACTTGAACTATGGAATGTTGGGAATGGAGAGGGATATTTGATAAAATATATACATTCGTTCTATCCCTATTGTATGTATACATGTACGTGCTTACACACATGTAAAAACACACACACACACAAACACACACATGTATGTATGTATATATATGGGAATATATATATATATATGTATATACACATACCTATGTAAATATGTATATGTATATATATATATATATATATATATATATATATAACATATTTTTGTATATATATATATTTATATATATAGATACATGCATATAGATAAATAAATAAATAAATTCATATATACATACATATATATATATATATATATATATATATATATATATATATATATATATATATATATATATGTGTGTGTGTGTGTGTGTGTGATGAATTTGTACTAATGTCAGGTACCTTTAAGGTTCTAGTAGATGAAGTGTTTACTCAGATTGTGAATATTTTTCGTATCAGTTCCCATTTTAGAAACGGTTTCATGCAGAAACAGAAAACTACAAAAGTTTGAAAAGTTTATTGGAGTCAAAAAGGCATTGAAACAACCCAAAACTAGACATATGCACGCCATCTCCTCCTCCACCAACAGAGAAGCATCGACCTAACCAAGGCAGTCAACCACGAGCTTGAAACGAAATAAGAGCAGCGGGCGTCCGAGCTTCGACGTGCACGAAAGCAAACCAAAGCGACCTGCGTGAAGCCGTTCGTGAATCAGGGCCGTTCGCAGACGACGTCGAGGAAGGGCGGTTCCGGGAAAGGCTTTACTTGCCGACGGTCTGCAGGGCCGCCATGTGCTCCTCCTGAAGGTGGCTGGGGATCAGGTACTCCAGGCAGTCGAGGAAGATGAGGTTGTAGTAGCAGTTGCTCCTGGAAGGGAAGGGCTGTGAGATTTCTGAGGCGATCGGTGGAAAACTTACTATGTGACACGACTGGAATGTCTACTTCAAGAACCTTTACCCAAAAGCCATTATTAAGGACTCTCAACCGCGCTCCATGCCCGACCTGCACCCCGTGGCCACTTTGGGCTCCCGGAACACGTTGTAGCAGTCGTCGCACAGGCGCCCCAGCTTCCCCAGCAGCTGGCGGTCGTAGATGCCGGTGCACGCCGGGTCGAAGAGAGAGCGCTTGCTGAGGCTGTGGTTCCCCGAGGACGCCGACGAAGGAGACGCGTCGAGGGAGCGAGCGGAGGCGGGCGAGGACAAGGCAGCGAAGGACCAGCAGGGCCGCCGACACCGTTGACAGCTGTAGGCCGAAAGGCTTGTGAAAATATGGATTGATAAATGATGACATTGATAATGATGATAATGATAACTGGTAGAATTGATGATAATGATGATGCTTATAATTATACTTATCATAACAAAAATGGCATTGATGATAATGTCAATAATAATAAATATCACGATATTGATAACAATAACAGGGATGATAGTAATGATTCTGTTACTACTACTAATGATAATGCTAATGATAATAACTGAAAACAAAACTGGTAATACAGCAACATCACCTTATCCTTCTCCAGTCAGTGAACAAAATTAACGACATATTTCAAGTCAATTCTGCCACTCTACGGTTTAAAAAAAATTAGAGAGAAGATCGCATAACAAACGCCGCTTACCATGTGAAGAGCAACCATTGCAATTGACACGAAATTCGAAATATTTAGTTGCAACGAAGCTCTCTTTCTGCAGTGATACTGGATACCATTTACACCCAGCTTATATATATACTACCGATGGCAAGTCCCCGAGAATAAACAAAAAAACTTTTATTTTTTTATTCGTTTTTTTTTTTTCAATCAGCTGCAATAGACTTATCTGATCCCCTTTGACACAGAAGTGCTCATTAAATGCATTTGTCTGTGCTTCGAACGGCGCGCGGGTATGCACTCAAGCACTCCCAAAATGGCGATCGCATCAAAGGGGAAAATATGAGTGGAAATTCGCGCGGAAACTGCAATTAGGGTTTGATTATATTTTTTCTCTTCGGTATTGAAAATCACACGAAATGAAATGTATGGATGTGTATGCAAAATGCAGAGATCTATATGTAAACACATATGCACACACACACACACACAAACACATACACACCCACATATCATATATCTAAATATACATACATTTATATTTATATATCTATATCTATCTCTCTCTCTCTCTCTCTCTCTCTCTCTCTCTCTCTCTCTCTCTCTCTATATATATATATATATATATATATATATATATATATTAAAGATCGCTCTATCATTATCTGTTTTCTGCATATATGACAATATTCTCCTTAGCTAATAAAAATAAGGAAATTAATATTTGCAGAAGGTTAGGGCGAGGCAAGTCAGATTAAGCGAAACGCCCCCCCCCTCTCCCGCTAACCTCACTTGGGCGCCATATTTACTTATTTTTAGTTATTCAGTTTTCTCTGGGCGAACTTTTACAATGTGTTCAACATTAATTCAGTAAAGGAAATAGAAATTAAAGGCCTGTGAATGTTGTAGAACTCAAATATGCATACGATTCAGTTACAGCATTTGTGAGTCATATGATTCAAGTACTTGAACTATGGAATGTTGGGAATGGAGAGGGATATTTGATAAAATATATACATTCGTTCTATCCCTATTGTATGTATACATGTACGTGCTTACACACATGCAAAAACACACACACACACAAACACACACATGTATGTATGTATATATATGGGAATATATATATATATATGTATATACACATACCTATGTAAATATGTATATGTATATATATATATATATATATATATATATATATATATATAACATATTTTTGTATATATATATATTTATATATATAGATACATGCATATAGATAAATAAATAAATAAATTCATATACATACATATATATATATATATATATATATATATATATATATATATATATATATATATATATATATATGTGTGTGTGTGTGTGTGTGTGTACATAAATATATATGTATATAAATACATTCGTACATATATATGTATATATATACACACATATACGTATGTGTACATGCACACACACACACACACGCATATATATAGAGAGAGATTATCAACAACCCTTTTAGGCGGATATGTAATTTCAGATGAAGAATGAAAAGGGGAAAAGAGGAAGACATAGAAGACATGGAGGGATGGAGGGAAATAGAGTGAGTCGATTCATATCCAAACCGGCATCAGCAAGTGACAAGACATTTAATGGAGACGGGAAAGCAAATGGAACATTGGCATTTTAGAACATGCGATACGCCACATAAAGCTCAAGGGTGGAGATTCGAACAGGGTTTGTGTGCGATTCGGACGTTCGCGCGCAGACCGTTTCGTGTGAGTCGATTTCTACTTCTTTTAATTAATTTCTCTCCTTTAGTACTGTTTCATTTAAGCTATATGTATATGTAGATTAGTTCTTCATTATTCGTGCCACTAAACTGATGATACTGGATTCCATAACGTGGAGTGAAAGGGAGAAAAAATGTTAAACAGTGTGTCTTCGAGGGAATCGCATGTTAGACTTACTAAAACCCTTTCCTATTCTTCATACGAGTATGTACACATGCATAACATTGGAACTCCATTACCCGTCTCCCAATCTCGGTTTTCCTCTCTACTTTCCTCACTAAATCGTCGTTAAGTTCTTCATAACCTACAGTTCTTCATAACCTACAGTTTCGCTTTCCAAAGCAACGCAAAAAAAGAAAAAAACAATACCAAGTAAAACAGGTCTCTTATGTATCGCGCTCAATACGCCAGTCTAGAATTCGAATTTCTATGTGAACTGCATTGCTCTCTGCTGATGCTTCTCACTGGCCCATTGCGTGAGACGGAGACGCCTTGAAGGCGTGAAAGAATTCCGTGGAGTAGTCGCGAAAGCAGGAGCTTCTATTTCAGTGGACTTTCCTGAAGGACAGGCTGGGCGGTTCTGTGCAGGATTATCAAGTCAGTCTTTCGGTCACTTAGCACACACACACACACACACACACACACACACACACACACACACACACACACACACACACACACACACACACATATGCACACACACACACATATATATAAATACATAAATATACACACACACACACACACACACACACACACACATATGCACACACACACACATATATATAAATACATAAATATACACACACACACACACACACACACATATATATATATATATATATATATATATATATATATATATATATATGCATATATATATACATATATATATATATATATATATATATATATATATATATATACACAAATGTGTATATATGTTATATAGATATATATGTATATACATTTTGAATTGTGGGTTGGTGAAGGGTGGAAAAAATAAGTTGTAATTATATCTGTTTATATAAATATGTATATATACACACATATATATGTATATATATGTATGTATGTATGTGCATATATGTATGTATTATAATTTTATGTGTATATATGTATATTTATTTATATATTTATATATATAAATAAAAAATGTAAATATAGATGTATATATATAAATGTATATATATATACATATGTATATGTATGAATGTGTGTGTGTGTAGGCTAGAGGTGTTTAACTTATTTTTCGTTAATGCCATCGTGCACCTTGTATTAAAAAAGATTTCGACGAGGATGGGATTCGAACCCACGCAGGGAGACCCTATTGGATTAGCAGTCCAACGCCTTAACCACTCGGCCACCTCGTCTGGAGATGTATTTGTAATAGTTAACTATTACCAGTTAACAAGAGCTACTGAACTTACTGATAAAGCATATTATAAATAGGGAATTAACAAAATAGCATGATTTGTTTTTCTTATCATCATAAACTACCTCGTTCGAGTGTCGGAGGTGAACTAGCAGTGACACTCGTTTAAAGGTAAGTATCAAGGACTTTGCATATAAGATGCATTTCTTTTTTTTCGAAAAAATGTCTTTAAAAACTATTTACAATATTTTTTTTTCCCCAACATCAGCATATATACTGATGTTCGGAAACACATTAAGGTTCCAAGTGTGTGTGTTCACTCTGGGAACACCTGTGCGCTGAGGCAGCAAGTGTGAGTCAGCAACCACGAGACGCGTCTTTTTTTCATGACGTAAGCATGTAACTCGTCTGTGTACGGGTATGTTTGTATATACAGTACACAGTTGGAAAGAAAAACATAACCAAACCCAAATTGCAGTTTTCGCATCAATTTCCTCCCATACTTTCCCTCTTTGATGCGATCGCGATTTTGGAGTGTTGGAGCGCCCGTTCGGACCACAGACAAGTGCATTGAATGAGAACCTCTACGTCAAAGAGGATCAATTTAGCCTATTGCAGCTAACTGAAAAAAATGTAAATAAAAAGAATAATGATGAATAAATATACAAACGAGTGTTTCTTCAAAAGTGGAACTAGCTATCGACAGTGTATATATATGCTGGATATAAATGGTAGCAAATGCCATTGCCTAAAGAGAACTACGTTGCAATTCAACATTCGATAATTGTGTTATCTGCAGTGGCAACTTCCCTTATGGTAAGTGCCGTCTGCTGTGCAATCTTCTGTTTTTGAATTTTGTTTTGTATTACGTTCGCATTTTAGTCATTGCTAGAGGAAGGATGAGATGATGGTACTGTTATTGATATTACTACTACTATT